GTGTTTAGGACAGAGAGCCCCATGCAGAGAAACACCCCCCCCCGGCCCAGACCCCCCCCCCCTATAGATGGAAATTATGAACACCAGGTCGTGACGTCATCAAAGGTAGTCCTACACTCCCTGAACTCTGCAGTTGCCAACTACTGTCACAAGTGTTTTAACTTGCAGTTTCTCATGTACTCAACAAGATATTTTCTTGATTCTTTCACTGCAGTACTCCAGACACTTCACACTAGCTTACAGTGTTACTGAGTTCAGTTTCCCTTGCATATTTGAGTGTATGTTTCGTATAATTTACAAGCATACAATAGGGAAAACTGGTGGTGCCCAGACCCACGCTGCAAAGTTACCTACGCTTGTCGCTCCTTACTTGTACAACACGGGGTTTTCAGTGAAGTCGTCGTTGGGCATTCCATCGACCCACATCTGCTGACGGTCTGATAGAAACCCATTGCTGGCGTATCTCTCCACATGCCTCACCAAGGGGATCTTCCCTGGATTCTGCGGCAGCTTGTGCTGGGCTAGTTTGCTTCTTGCCTCCCCGAGGGTACGGACAAGGTTTATCTTGCCAAAGCCAAAACAGAAATGATAGAAATGTTCTTAGTGGGAAAGAGGGTGCACTTATTGTGGCAGAATTATAAGCAAGACTGGGCATTTCTGTAAAGCAGCCTGAATTAGCTTACGCCACTCTGTTTGGTTCTCTCTCCCATAAGGATTTGCGTGAGGATTAGCTACTGTTATATGCCTCTATTGTTATATGCCTCTCGGGCGTGACGGTGCCGTCTCTTCTGAAAATGCGCTCTATTCTAAAAGAGCCGTTTACTTTTCTGAGTTCAGCCTGGAAGTCAAAACAATTGAGATATCAGGATGTGTGGCTCCAGAATCCTGTCTTGACACAGGGAGGGCGCTGGGTGTTTCTAACCTAGAAGATCACAAGTTAACTCTGAGGAGAGTTCCTCTAGTCAGCGAGGGGAAAGATTTGGGTTTTGTAATTTCTTAATTGACAGCTACTCTGGATTTCTCTTCTATATAATGTCAGTGTCTGCCACTGTTCAGGGCTCTCTGCCGACACCTCCATTGTTAGGTCCTGACCGATGGCCAGAATGCATATTCCTAAATAAAATATAAGTGCACTCTTTGTTTAAAAGTATTGGCTTTTTATATCTTCTAATATGATGAATACTGAAATTGCTGTTTGCTTGAATATTTTGTACTTCTGGATTTGTACTTCAATAAATAAGAGCTACTTTGGAACAGTTCCCGGTTTGGTGTCGTGGTTAAGTGCGCGGACTCTAATCTGGGAGGACCGGGTTTGATTCCCCACTCCTCCACTTGCACCTGGCTGGATGGCCTTGGGCAAGCCATAGCTCTGATAAGAGCTGTTCTTGGAAAAGAGCAGTTTCTGTCAAGAGCTGTCTCAGCCCCACCTACCTCACAGGGTGTCTGTTGTGGGGAGGGGAAGGGGAAGGAGTTTGTAAGCCGCTCTGAGACTCCTTTGGGTAGTGAAGGGCAGGGGGTATAAATCCAATCTCTTCTTCTTCTTGTCACTCTCTAAAACTACGGGGTCCTGCTGCCAGTTTCATTCCCCTCCCTTATAGAGCCGGGTGGGGTTGGAATCCTGCACTCCTGCTTTCCCCAACACTTATGCTTGCTACAAAAACAGAGCACGAGCCCAGCCAAGTTAAGCACCTTGAAGAGATAAACTGCTGGAAGATTCATGAACAGAATCTTAACATTTTAAGCATTTAAAAAGAGGAGACTAGAAGCCACAGGGGAGAATGCGACTGTGGGCGTGGCACGTGGGCAAGGGGTTCTGCCCAAGCAGTTCCACCAGTCAAACTGACACTCCCCGTCTCCAGTGCTCTTATTAACCTTGGAAGGCAAAAAAGAGAAGCAAAGAGACAGCCCTTGTCTTCACTCCACACACACACACACCCGGGCAAATGATAGTGGGGGGAGAAGTTGCAGTATACCCTTCTAGACAGAAGATAATCCTTTGAAAATTAAAATGTATTAGGTTTGCCAACTTTTGTTACTAGCCATGGTCCTGTACCTTTAAAAGCGGTATGATGTTCAGATATTAAAGAAATGAAGGTTTCCTATTACTACCTCTCTTCTCCAGGAAATGTTTCACCTGCTTAATCTCGGCACTGAAAGAACAGGAGCAGTAAAACATGCCAATTTCATTGTGCATTATAAAGCACCTTTAATTTACCAAATGCTTTAGAGACCTTAATGTGGTCTGCTTGCATAAGAAGCCTCAGTGGCTATGAGCCACAAGGTATAGATAGGAACTCTCAGTCTGGGGCAAGTGATGCACTGTATTCTTGGTGCTTGGGGGGGGGGCAACAGTGGGAGGGCTTCTGGTGCCCTGGCCCCACTGCTGGACCTCCTGAGGGGACCTGGTATTTTTGGCCACTGTGTGACAGAGTGTTGGACTGGAGGGGCCTTTGGCCTGATCCGACATTGGCATCTCTTGTGTTCTTAAGGTATAGATAGGAACTCTTGGTCTGGGGCAAGTGATGCTCTGTCTTCTTGGTGCTTGGGGGTGGGGGCAACAGTGGGAGGGCTTCTGGTGTCCTGGCCCCACTGCTGGACCTCCTGATGGCACCTGGTATTTTTGGCCACTGTGTGACAGAGTGTTGGACTGGATGGGCCACTGGCCTGATCCAACACTGGCTTCTCTTACGTTCTTATGAGATGGGCCACTAACAGCCCCATTTTAAACGCGAGAAACAGAGACCGAGTGGTAGCAAGGTCCTTCCATTTTCTCTTTTATTATTATTTATTTATTTAATTTATACCCCACCCTATCCCACGAGCTTGCACCTATGCTTTAGCACCCTTCCAAGACAGAAAAAGTATTGTGTTTCCTAGTATTGTCTCTGTTTCTCAAGAAAAGTATCACCCGCTTTTCCTTGCATTAGACTGCTGGGAATGAAGGAAAGAAGGAAGGAAGCTGTGTTTGCTGACTCTCTTCCAGCAGCCAAGCAAATGATAAAAGGCCCTGAAATCTCTGCCAAGAAAAGAGGTGTCACACAGATTGACCCTATGACTATGCAAGAGCCTCTTTCTGAATCGGCTCTTTTAGCATCTGCTACTTCTCTACCTCATCATCAAAGATCTGGCGGTAGATTTTCCCACTGGGGACCACACGTGACACACCCACTAAGGTCATGTTGCACAGCACTCCTTCGCTCTCAATTAACTGAGGACAGAATTTTTTTCTGGATCAACCGAAGAGGAGCTGTTAAAAGACAAAAAAGAAATAATTAAATTATTGAATGAATACATATGCATTTCAGGAGTTAAGCATGCTATAAATCAGGGTGAGGTAGCAAACAGATGACAGGAGGGCTACTGAAGATATAGATTTTTTAAAATAGCAGCTTCAAGTTTTGCAGATCCAGGATCCCTCCTTTAACCAAAGCGTGTGTGGAATATAGGAAGGAGGTTTTATCAGAAATCCATGAACAACCACTGGGCTTTTCCCAAAAAGAGTCTGGTGAATTTTTGTTTCTTTACTCCAGAAGATTCTGGTGCCTCTTGAATTTTGTTTTGCGTTCTGCAGTACCATCATCCAATTAAGTCTGCAACACCTCCTGTTCTCCATTTCAAAAAGGCAACAAACCCCATTTCCCTGAATCATTTGTTTTTTCCACCCTCACCTTCACGCCTTTTTTTGGCTCTGAGCATCCAGCCTGAGGAAGAGTTCTGTAGAACTCAAAGGTTGGCTCTCTACCTGGGGTGGGTCCCAATGAAAAACCTATTATCTTCTCTTAAGAGGTCTCACAAACAGCTGAGGTCCAACAAGGAAGACTTGTTCTGAGCTAGGAGCTTCTGTGGATCTGCAGCTTTATTCAGACGTATGTGCTGTTTGGTGTAGTGGAGCCAGTTTGGTGTCGTGGTTGAGTGTGCGGACTCTAATCTGGGAGAACCGGGTTTGATTCCCCACTCCTCCACTTGCACTTGGCTGGATGACCTTGGGCAAGCCGTAGTTCTGATAAGAGCTGTTCTTGAAAAAACAGCAGTTTCTGCCAGAGCTCTCTCAGCCCCACCCACCTCACAGGGTGTCTGTTGTGGGGAGGGGAAGGGAAAGGAGTTTGTAAGCCGCTCTGAGACACCTTTGGGTAGTGAAGGGCGGGGTATAAATCCAATCTCCTCCTCCCTCCTCCTCCTACTGAAAGGTGCACCATCAGGCATCCTTAGGATTACTACTGCCTTTCAGGCTGACCCCCCCCCCCAATCTTACTTAGAGAGTGAGTCACACTATAAGGCAGTGATGGCGAACCTTTTAGAGACCGAGTACCCAAACTGTGACCCAAAACCCACTTATTGATCGCAAAGTGCCAACACGGCAATTTAACCCGAATACTCAGGTTTTACTTTAGAAAAAAGTAACTCATACATCAACTTAAGATGATCCAAACAAAGTAAGGAAAGCAATCCCAAATGCTTTCATTTACTTAACATTATTTGGCAGAGAATTCGACACTTTAATGACGGTCTGGGCCTGGCTGGGGCGATGGCACGTGTGCCCGCAGAGAGGGCTCTGAGTGCCACCTCTGGCACCCGTGCCATAGGTTCGCCACCACTGCTATAAGGAATGTGGGCTTAATGGGGATGCCAGCCTCCAGGTGGGACCTGGGTACCCCCCGAATTACAACTAATCTCCAGACTACAGAAATGAGTTCCCCAGGCTGGAGAAAATGACTGCTCTGGAGGGTGGTGGGGCACTGTGGCATTGTGCCCCACTGGGGTCCCTGTCCTCCCCAGGCTCCGCCCTCAAATGTCCAGGTTTCCCAGCCTGGAGCTGGCAAAAAACAACAACACAACAAACACACACACACACACACCCAGGAAGACCTGGCAACAGGAGGCATAATTGCAGCCTCCTTGGCAAGCCTGGATGCCAGCTCTGGTGGCCTGTGCCATAGGTACTTCTGGGTCTCTGAACAACTTCCAGTTTGCATTCATTTGTGCAAATGAGCACCTGCAAATAAACAGTCAGGACAATTTGTATTTCGCCCTCCCCCACCCCACCCCCCCAAAACACACCCTGACTTGGCCATCGGGGACTACAGCGGTTGGGACTCCATGAGCCCTTCAAGCAGAGCCTACAGGGGGAGGGGGGTGGCTCGAGTGGTTAAGACGCTGAACTGCGGGCTGTGGAAGGTCGGTCGTTCAGCAGTTCGAGACCCGAGTGTGCCGCATGATGGAGTGAGCTCCCGTCTCTACTTCCAGCTCCTGCCAACCTAGCAGTTCGAAAGCAAGAAATTGCAAGTAGATAAGTAGGTACCACTTCGGTGGGAAAGTAACAGCGTTCCGTGCACCTTGGTGTTTACTCATGCCGGCCACATGACCACGGAAACGTCTTCGGACAGCGCTGGCTCTTCGGCTTTGAAACGGAGATGAGCACCGCAACCCTAGAGTCAGACTCGACTGGCTTTCGAGCAAGGGA